ATGTATCTATATATATTTTATATATCAAATACTAAACGTAAACTAAAACTTTCTTCTATCGTGAAAATATTTCTTCAGTTCAAATTTATAAATTTTGGACTCTTAAAAAAAAATTGGGGGTTTATAAGTTATTTTTCTACACACTTGAACAGTAGAGGGGTTTGCACTACGTCTAACAACACGCCCCCCTGACCATGGCTCTCATAGTCCTAGGATAAATTCGTATCTGATTTGATCTGTGGTAGATATTTCTTTCTACTAATGGTGTTTGGTATAAGTTTTCATAGATTAAGAGTATATACTTTTCTTCAACTGGAATAGCAAACAAAATAGGCTCAACAATTTTTTTATGCTATTACAATAGGAGCAGACTGCTTACTACAAAGTGTAGGTATTACCAGCTTAAAACAATTAAATACACTTTTTATGGCGAATACACATCGGATATAGTCAATCAACATAGTTACAGCTCTCTTATGAATACCACCGATAGAAATATTTAGATGCCATTTGCAACTCACGAACAAATAGAAGAAAGAAAGTATACCATAATAAAAAAAAACAAGGAGATGGAAGGCAGCAATTTGAAAAAAAGCAACGAAGCAGTACTTGGACTGTATTATGCATGCCTGGGAAAGATATATGATATTCATTATGTATCAATCCAGTATACCTGTTTTTAATAAGCAATAAAAGGAAGAGCTACACCACTAGAAGTAGATCTTGCTATAAAAGTTGATTCTATATATTTCTTTACATTTTTGATGTGATATCAAGCAACATTGCTATAGCACAGAGGTTATCAAGTTTTGTATTCGTAACCTCAACCTGATGTAACATCTAATAATTTAAGACAAAGATTGTTATATATTCAGTTCTTTTCAATAGATTGTGGTTTAATTGAAGTAGAATAACAAACATTAAACCTTTTTTCCTCCGACCTTACAAATAGTAGGTAAATATTTGAATATCAGCTTTTTTAAAATTTTGTGATTCGTAAACTCCTCACAAAATAGTTCGATAGTGAAGAAACTTAGCCATCTTGTATAAACGCGTCCAAATGCGGAATAACGTTATGTCTGATGAGAAATTAATCCATAAGATAGCAATCCATAAGCGCACAAAATTTTAAAATTTGCCTAATAAGAAAATAGTATGAAAATTATAAACATTCGTATGGTCCAAAAAAGTCAAGCCTCTCCATATCTGATAGCTTCGGTGGACGCAACGGTTTATAATTGCTCTTTATTATTATTTCTTAACCGTGGAATAAAAGTTATTGTAAATATTTACGACAAAAACGTTTTAAGAGAGGCCTTAAAATTGTGGGCAACTAAAACTTTCGAGGAGAAAGAGTGGAGTTTTAACAAGATTATGCACCATTTCTCTAGATTGCATCATACAAACGGCTTTACGGAAACCAAATGCATGTCTCTGCGATTTCTCTGTATAAGTTATTTCATAGGGACTAAAAACTCTAGAAAGCTGATATGCTCAAATAAATCTTTTTTGTCAAAAAGGATAAAGATTTTACATTCGCCAAGTGTGTAAATTAAATCGCTTTAATCATTTGAGTTTATTTTAAAAAATCTGCAAAAAATCGTTGGTGACTTTATAAAGAGATATCAATTTTAGTTTTTAAAAAACTATAAGTGATATTATTATTTTTCACGCCTGAAGTTATATTTAATTTAAGATACACTCTTTAACAATAGACTATACCAAATAAGATTTTTAGATACCAAATTAGATATTTATTCCAACCTATTGTGGACTCTTAAAGACCATTAATCAATATTACCGTCGCGATAATTATAATTAATTTAAACTAATGAAGTATATTGAAGATAGTGAATTGCTTGGATGGCACGATAAAACTAGTGCACCCAGTCCAGAGACTGTTGTGATTAACCCTAAAATATCTCTTGTTTTCTGTCATGTTTTTAGATAAACGTCTTCATGATTAAGCAAACTTCCATTTGGGATCATCTCATTTCAGGAACAAATATTCAAACGATATTAATTTAATAAACGAATCCTGCTGGTCTGATACCGAAGAGCACCAATAATTACAAGTTTATTAGCAGAGTTTTTATTGGACATGGTTTCAGTTTACCATTCTTTACCACACCTCAGTGACGAACAACCTATATAAGATATACTCAGTTTTGCAATGCTATTCATCTTACTTTCACTAATCATCTTTGAGAAACGGGTGGGGTTAATAAAAAGTTTTGAATATATATATATTAAATATCCTTAGATATTAAAAATATATTAACTAGAAATTGATTGAATCTACCAATATACTCGCAATGTGAGGGGATTTACTATGGCGATTCCACAATACAAGTAAAGAATTTATTCAATTATTCAATTACTTGAGTATTAGCACAGCTAAAAAGGTTCTATCTTTTGTGAAAAGGATTATAGCAACAATTGTGTTCATTGATTTCATATCATATATAAAATTTTATATTTATTCTAAAGAAAGTTCTTTGTAAAGCGTTGCCTCACTTAAATGAAATCTAATAATAAATCATTACTTCTGGAGTATGTCTAAGTCAGTTTTTAATACCAATATTTTCTAAACATTGACTAATTTGAAGATTCTAAACATTCTACTTTAATATCCGCTTTAAATTATAACAGAATTACGAATTATTTAATATAATCAAAAATTAATAATTATTAACTTTAACTTTTCCCAAATTCCAATAGTACATTAGCTCCTTCTGTTAATATTAAGAAAACTCGAACTTTGGCTCTTTGCCAAATGTAGCAGGAATATAAGATCTAATGAATATGAAATATTGATTAAGAAATACTTTATATTTCACCATTCACTTACTATTGCGATGTATTAGGAAAACGGTTTTATATAGTATACGTATTAGAATAGTTAAGTATAATAGTTAACTATAGTCAAAAGTTTATAGTTACTTTTACATATGAAAGACGAATGGGCTATGGAATTGTCAGTGGTCAGTGTACAACTATCGCTAAAAATCTATCAATAACTTTGGATTAAAAGCAATATGCCCACAAGCATGCACTCGTTAACAATATCTAATTTTTATCCGATTGCTTATAGAATATCCAAAGCTTTTTCATGAACAACTTTTGAGTGACGATCAGTGATCAAAATACCATCCATAGATCATATACTTAACGATTACCTTTTTTTTTATTCTATTCGTAGTAACATCTTTCCAAACATCCTATCTACCAGCCAATTTAAAACAATTACAGTTAAAAATATACTTTTGATGTATAAATATATTAAAGGCCTGTAATGTAGTCAATAAAATTTAATTTATAATATCCGAACTGAAAGCTCTGGGAGCTAGCGCTCGTTTTTCCTATCTTAGTTATAAGATTTCATATTTTGTAATTAATTATAATAAGTAAATGCTATAAATAAATTGATTTGATTTGATTGTAACTTTAGTTACTTATGTTTGAAAATTGATTCAAATGTCTTTACAAACAGGTTCTGCTGTAAACACTTAGTATTATAGAATATAGTATTATAGAAGTTTGTGCAAGTCCTCTAATGTTTCCCATACTTAACTAATTAGCATTGTTTTTTGAATAAAAAAAAATTCATTATTCACGAATTTCAAGGAGTTTAAGAATTTACTGTTTTTGTGCATCCATTCCTGAAATATCTGTTAATTAAATTTAAAAATTTAAATACTAAGTTTGAAATCAAATTAAATTAAACAATATAATGACGAACATTTTATGTATGTGAACTACTAATAATTTTTAAACCTAACTAGCTGGTAAAGTCCAGCGCTGTTATTGTTTTATCTATTGTTTATTATTAAAAACACACAAATATGTTATAAATATAATGTTTCAAAAATGTGTATTATGTGTGAAAAAAGCTATTACAGGAATCTATCTTTCAAATTAGACAGGGTTTAATTTCGATGCTAAGCACTTGCAATCTAAACTTCTTATATAAACAATTAAAACAAAATAAAATTTCCAAAGACCACTGATGATGGGTATTTGGCAATATACGAAATAGCTGTATGGTTAGTCAAAATGCATATATTATATTGAAGCTAGTTGTGTCAGTGCACTTGAGCACTTCTACTCTCTATTGTTTATCACTTCATCAGAGTAAGCAGTAATTGACCTCAGATCTGCATACCTCCCCGAGGAGCTTGTAACCGTTCTGAGATTCGATAACGCGGTGTTGGTAAGTCTGAAGTCTGTCAGTTTTCGTAAATAATTTCAGGGCTCTATCCTTTATGTATTTTTTGATCGGATCTATCTTGAGGTCCCTGAGGATGTCATTCGTCCTAATGTACCATATATATTTCAAAAATTAATTTTTTTTAAATTTTTTTTCTTTATTTTTGTCCACGTATCTAAGAGTAATTAATTCATTGTCATAGGATATAAAAAATTTATTTAAAACTGCATTCTTGTGATAAGTTTTTGAGAGTAATTAATAGTATACCTAAAAAAAGTATTAGTATACCTGAGTATTGTGGCTCTATGCCCAATTAGGGGAAACGGATACTAAGAAGTAGTATTGCATCAATAATAATTATAATTATAATTCATAAACTATTTGATAAATTAGTTATAATATATTTATTTTAATTTTTTATGAAATATCAAAGTAATTTTTTTTATCAAATTATTATTCATTCAAAACTAAGTTATTTAATCGTAACTGCCTTAATATTGTATAACACTAAAAGCATCCTGTCATTTTGCAGCTATGGGGCAAGATCCTGTAAACTCTAATATTCTTAATGTAGCTACATTTATGGTAACATCTCAAAGCACAGAACAGAAGTCATTTTCAAATTATATTTTCTTTCGGTTAATAGCTGCTGCATGGTGACTGCTGTCACCTACTGATAGCACCATATAGTAAACTTTCTTTATATATAATTTATGTCTTCTCTGAAGTTTTTTGTTTATGTGTTTAAAACACTTGTATTTTTCCTTTGAATATTTAATATCCAACTTACCGTACATATATCGAACAACAAAGTCGACGCGGTTATCCCAGGAGTAACTCATTGTGGAATTTTGTTTTTGGAATTATAATTTAAACACACACAAAACTTATCTAAAAAAATTAAATAAAATTAAATGATTAAATATATTGAAATAACATTGTTTTATCATTTTCTCATATTGAAGTTTATTTTTGTTTTAATTTAATTTACTTAAAAAAATAAATTCTTATTAAATATTTTCGTTTTCTATTTAAAGTCACAAAATTTCATAGTTAATATTTAACAAGGAATTTTATTATATTAAATATTTTTTTTGCAGTAAATTGAATTGAATTGACGCGTTTTTAAAGTGTTAAAATTTTGACACGTATGGCACAGAGGATCAAGAACTGTTTCTAATACTTCTTGTTATATTTTCTTCACTTAATTATTTTCGCTTAAACAATGCAAACTACCTGAGGACCCGACCCGTTCGTTTCTGATTTAGTGTTTGTATTTTGTTCAGCAAGATAGCTTTATTCGTATAGACGTGTGCTTATAAGTATGTTGCCAGATACATGAGCAAACTATTACCAAGCAACATGTCTATAAACACTGTCTATACATTTCTTACGCAGAAATGATACGATATAAAAACTTCGCACAGCACTTTGCATTTATACATTTTTCATAAATATATCTATATTTATATAAACAATTTTTTTTTGTGCTAAATAATTACATAAATTATTTAATAATAATTAATAAAAATTTTAAATTAGCAAAATTTGATTTTTGGCTCATAAGGTCTTTTTTTAATTCTTAACACCTTAAGCATAAGCAATTGATAGATTTATATTGTGCTAGTTTAGAGCAGGATTTTAGATTAGCTTTGATTTTATTTTTCTAAAAGTGAAGTACAGTGAAATTTCTCGTAACCGGACTCTCACCGTCAAAAACTCTGGTTTTTGTTCGCTTATGGGAGATGTGCGCTTATGGGAAGGAGCACAAAAAATTATGTTGATATTGCACCCAAATGATATTTTGAATTAAGTTGAAAGTTAAACACCTTATCATACGATGTTATAGGCTCACTTACTTCTTCATAAGATTCTTCTTCTGAACTCATACCCACGATATCGCTTTGTTCTTGAAATTGAAATCATTTGCTAAATGGAGTTCTTCCTGAAATTTAGCATATATTGCGAGCGGAATGTCATCTTTAGGATCAAAATTGGTAAGAGTTCAGTAAATTTTAGAAAATCCTACTTTACGGAAGCAATTTTGGATTGTTGTTGTTTCTACTTTATGCGAATATACTTCGAGAAAATAAACAGCTTCAATCATATTAAAAGATTTTGACAGAGTTTTCGCGAGAGTTTTATCAGGTAATGCGCGAAAGAATATCACTCTTCCTGGGCTATTATGAATTATATTTAATAAATTATTGGTGAGTAAAACTAACAATTTTTTACAGAAATACAAATAGAATATGAATTATGAAAAGTTATAGATTTTTAAAAAACTTGTCGGTATTTTTTGAATTTTGTTCTTTTATGGGGGATTTTTTGATCAAAATGGTTTAAAATGTAGTGTCCACGTCCTTCTGTTATTAGAACATCCTGTTATTGGAATGATATTTGTATGAAAAAATTAATGACAAAGCTATGTCCACGAAATTTGTCCGATAACTGAAGCTGTCCGCTTAAAAGAACTGTCCGTTATAAGGAATTTCACTGTACTTAAATATTTTTTAGGGGTTTTTCAAAAAAAAAAAATACATCATTTCTCAACGATTTATTATCTTTAGCTTAATTCTTTCTTTCACTGTCAATATTTTTCACTGCTGCTATAGCAATCATTAAACTTTTTATTGTTGTTATTATGTATGAGCACATATAAGCCCTAGAATAAATGTAAGTAAATAAAGTAAGTATTTTAAAAAAGAACATTAGGTGGAGCCTCAATTATTACTGTTTTTATTGTTGTTGTTATGTATGGGTATACATTTATCCACATATGAATGAGAACAAATTTAAAGATACTAATTCAATTTTTTTAAACTATACTTTTTTGTGATTTATGTACATTGTGACCGAAAAGCTTTCGGAAATTCTCATTTAAAATTCGCGCGCTGTATATTTTTCGATATTTTAAGTTTATGTAGTTTGGCAGCACTGTCCTTAATTACTATGCCAAAAATGAGCGCGATCTGTCAGACAGTTCGTTTACGGCAGCTGTTGAAACCAGTTCACCTCAGTAGTGCGTTGCGAAAAAAACAATGGAAAAAAATATTGAACAAAGAGTTTGCATCAAATTTTGTTTTTCGAACGAAATTTCGTGTGCAGAATCGTTGCGAATGCTACAAAAGGCTTATGGGGAATCAGTTTTATCGAAAACTCAAGTTTATGAGTGGTACAAAGCCTTTCAGGACTGTCGTACGACCGTCGAAGACATGCCGCGTTCTGGACGACCTTCGACCTCTACCACCGACGAAAACATTGAAAAGGCAAAGGAAATCGTGTTCAAAAATCCTCATGTGAGTGTTAGAGAGATAGCACGAGAGCTAGGCATCGGTCGTGAGATGGCTCGTTTGATTTTGGTGGACAATTTGTGTATGCGACGTGTCAACGCCCGGCTTGTTCCGATTCACCTCAATTTGTTCAACATTATCAACGATTTTAAGGCCAAACATTCAATAAATACCATCGAACAGCCACCGTATTCACCTGATCTTGCACCGTGTGACTTTTTCCTGTTTCCCAACCTCAAATTACCACTCAGAGGAACGCGTTTTGAATCCATAGAAGACGTAAAACAGAATTCGCAGAGGGAACTCAAAGCCATACCGGAAAGCGCCTATAAAAAATGTTTTGATGATTGGAAGAAACGTTGGCATTTGTGTATCGCTTCTAATGGAGCATATTTTGAAGGAGATAAAATAAATATTGATGAAGATTAAGAATTTTGCGTTTTATTTAAAATTTCCGGAAACCTTTCGGTCACAATGTATAGTTCAGGAGTTTTTAAATTTATTAATTTGAAAAAAAATCAAATCATATCTCTGAGAAAGAAGTAAAAAAACATTGAAACGTCGGCATTATTAAATAAAGAATTTTAAAAATTACACACATTGTCTTTTGATTTATAATTTTTAGATTAGACATAAACAGGGTACCAGCTCCTAATGGAGCGGAACACTGCGATCATAGTTGATCTTTTGTGCTACAACAGACCCTAACCGAACAGAACACATTCCGCCTTTCGAATGAAAGCCAAAATGTCGGTCGTTGAGGACCTCCTAATATCAGAAGGGTAGAGTAGTTCTCGACCCAGTGACGTCCTCCTGGTCGAGATTAAGGCAGAGAATGTGACTGGAAATTTCGTCTATTTCTAAGCAGAGTCTTCTTATCTATCTCTTCGGACAGACCCATTTTGTTAAGGTAATAACACAGTCCATGGTGACCCGTTAAATATCCAACCAGCAACCGCAACTCTGTTCTACTAAAGAAGATCAGAGACCTAGTTGTAAACCAACTTAATCTATAATATAACTTCGGGCCACAGATTTGAATGGCAGATTCTGACCTCGCAAAACTGTTCGCAGACTCATTAGCATTGATTCCTGTGTGATAAGGCACCCAGCAAAGCATCATCATATGCAACGCCATTTTCGTTTACAGGGTTCAACAGATGCGGGCGTCCGTTTGGTGGCGTTTCAGAGGTCAGCATTACTGATGCGATGAGGTCGCCACACGTTTAAAATCTAACGCAGGCACTTATTACAGAAGACTTGTAGACGAGAATCAATTGTATTTGTGCATTTCGATGTCTCAAAACCATAGAACAGGGTCGACTTAACATTTGAGTTATAAATGCCAATTTGTGTTTGAGTGATTATTTGTTGGGATTTTCAGATAGAGCGTAACATGCTAAACTCTGCTTTCGCCTTGTTTATTCGCGATGTGATGTCCTCTTTTGCACCTCTACTAATTAGTATTAGTCAATAGTACATTATACGTAAAACTCTGCAATACCTATATATATTTCTGAAGAATGATATCCTTTCATTTGATAAGAATGTTAACCTAACGAATTGAAATTTCAATTGTCAAATCCAGGATTTGTTAATGATGCCAGAACTGACAGACCCTTGGTAATAAAGCTATTAGTCAATCAATTTTGAACGCTATTTGTAAATTTTAGCTAAATCGCCTACTAAAGTGCAATGAAACCAAAATATCATTTTTATGAATTTAAACTTTTTTAAAAAATGAAAACTGTTTTTAAGCAATACTAGGATGAAAAACACGAATTGAAAACTATTGGCACTTAATTAGGAATAGTAAATTAAGATAATCACTCTGTATCAAAATGTACTATAAAACATCTACCATCAAATCAGAAAAGAAGAAGAAAATTCTATAAGAAGAAAAAAAGATAGGAATAAACGGAGCACTGAGTTCTAGAATGATCTCCTATGTACAACTGAAGACAAAAAAAGATACAAGCCAGAAACTCGGTAATTGATAGGTTCAATAATGTTAACAACCATTTCAGTAAAATTCCTGTATCCTTTATTAGTTCATGTACAGAGGAGTAGAACACATCTTTAAAAAGTGACTTGAAGAATTATCTTATATGATACGGCGATATCATTGTTCCTATATGATGTATTAATATTTAGACATATAAGTCTACATAAATTATAAATATATCTATAAATTTAAAATAGTTAGGTATCAAATTGTTAACAAATTGTTAGATTTTCTTTAACTTTAGTATGATGGCTTTTTAAAGCTATATATTTTATTATAAACAATTGAACCTTTCAGATTTAGATGAATAGTGCCTTAAAGTTGGTAGTTATCATTTATAGCTGCTATAAAAAACATATGTCTTTGATTAATGTTAATGGCAAAAAAAAACTATTAAAAAATGATTAGACAACAACAAATATTTTAGTTAACTTATTAAAGTTTGACTGACCATACAACACTGTTTCGAGTATTGCCAAGTATTCATCATCATCTCTTTAATTTTTTGGAACACGTCTAAGAATATTGTAAAAAGGAAATTCATCCAAAGATCTTAATATCCAGTAAAGCTTAATACTTCAAAAAAAAAAGGGAAATCATCTTTGTAATGCAAATGTTGAAAGTTTATTAATTCCTTTCTCAGGAATGTTATCATGTTCGATTATTTAGTATTAAATGGTTTTTAAACTATAACCAATTAAGAAGACAATATTTTTGTTCAATTACAAAAAATCGAGTTATTTTAAGTTTAATGGTCATATTTTGGTTTTTGATTATAAAATCAAAACTTTTCTATATATTTAAAAGGAACGGTTTATGAAAATTAATTTTTTAATTTCAATTAAATTAATTGTAATTTACAATCTGATTTCAATGATAAGCAAAATTATCCTAAATGCTGATATCACATCCAAGTTCAAATAAAGTTTATTAACTGGCAGATATATCATCAGTCACTCATAAAAATTATTTAATCGCCAACCATTAATCACATTTTAATTAATTACCTAATTTAATTAATTAATAGTATGTAGTA